GGAACATGGACATTAAAAATCTAGCTGGGTCATTGGCCTTCATTAGCTGTGTTTACAGCTGTGATGATATCTTGGAAGACATGTTAATTTGCAGAGTGCTCATAGAAAAAAATTGCTGAAGGAATTTTCAGCAGGATGGCTTTCCATTGAGCAGAAAAGGAAAAGCCTTGTGTCTGAGAAGGAGCTGACAAGATTTGCTGTGGGAGTGAGTGGTTGTGGGGGACCAAGTTGACCATCCTGGAACCTTCAGTAGCTATCACGTCCTTCTCTGAGGACTCTCCCTCAGGTGTTCAATGTGTGCAGCAGAATGGTAAATGGTAAACTATGTTTTGAAAAAAACAAGCAATGATCTGGAAATTCATTTTAAATTTAAAATGGGCAGTGATTTTGAATGCTCTCTCTGCAGTATAACAGTAGATAGATGCCAACTTGGTTAGGGACTCAAGATTTAAATGTTGGGATAATAAAGAGAGAAAACTTAGGGAAAGATGAAAAAATTCCTTGCTTATTAAAATGAAAAAAGTGGCCCAGAAATTTACCTTATTTAACAGATATTTTTTAAGGCTAAACTTCTCAAAGAACAACTGCAAGGCAGTGACTGTCACATGTATATATGTCAAGAGTATGGCACATGAGAATAAAGTTTGGAAGTTGGATACAGAGAATTTAGCAGAGGAATAGAACTCATTTCCACCAGCCTCTCCTCAGAAGGAAGATTGGGCGATCTGCTTCCGTAGTGATACCGCCTCGGAAACCCAAGGAGGGGTCACTATGAGTCAGAACTGACTCAACAGCAGTGAGTTTGGTTTTTCTGGTTTTTTTAGGACTCATTTGGAGTTCTTAGGTCATTTGGAATTGATGAAAATTAAAGAACATTGGTAAAATTCAGAACAATAGCATTGGTGTCATCAGGCAAGCTTTTTTTAATTGAAAAAAGTTCTATATTGTCTTTTTCTTAGCCCATAAAGAAGCCTGAGAAGTGAGTCAGAGATGCTTCCACGTGACACAAGGGACTTCTCAGAGAGGAGAGACACTGGATGGAATTTCTACCTGTTGGCCCTGAAAACATTGCACCTGCCACCGTTTGTCTGCACTCACTTTAGGATTATTCTGATAGGACTTCTAAAGGAGTCTGTTTCCTTAAGTTCCCCTCCCCCGTCATCAGAAGACAGGCCTAGCAATCTGCATCCAAAAGGTCACAGCCTTGAAAACCCTAGGAAGCACAGTTCTACTTTGCATACATGGGGTATGAGTTGGACTCGACTACAGGAGCTCTGGTAGCATAGTGCCTAAGGCACTCGACTGCTAACCAGAAGGCTGGCGGTTCAAACCCACCAGCCACTCCTCGGAAGGAAGATGGAGCAATCTACTTCCGTAGTGATACTGCCTCGGAAACCCAAGGAGGGGTCGCTATGAGTCCGACTCGATGGCACATAACAACAACAACAACGTGGTAATTAATAACAACATTTATGGTCTGGGTCCTCAAAATATTATCACAGCAGCACAGAAGAGCCTAATACATAGGGTTGGCTTTTTTCATATTCCAGTTTTCTGACATTGATCATATTGGTGCAGCATAGCTCAATTAAGTATCCATGCTAATGCAAAGTTTTTGAGTGCCTCTTCAGGATACATTGAAACATTGACAACTAGAAATGTATATATATATATATATATATTTAATTGTGATTTAGGTGAAAATTTACAGAGCAAATTCACTTTCCATACAACAGTTCACATACACTTTGTCTCATGACATTGACCACAATTCACCACAATGCAACAGCACCCCTCCCACTTCCTCCCGACAGTCACCTCTTCCCTGTGTCCATCCCTCCATGCACTCCTGCCCTCTGAGTTGTCTCCCTGTGCATAAACAGCCCTTCTTTCTCCCATGATTGCTCTTTCCAAAGAGTGTATCTACCTCAGGTAAACATTCAGCTCATATGCCTGCCTTTTGTTTGGCTGGAAACCACAGGAATGGGTTCAATTCTAGACCTGAAGGGCAGCCAGGGGCCACAGTCTCAGTGGTTCCACTGCTCTATCAGACCAACAAGAATCAGGTAGTATTATGGGCACATTATCTAGATTCTCTGGGTCTCTGAAAAACTGAGAGGGCTTTGTGAGAAATAGAAAAGCAAGTGAATACTTACATTACCCAGAGACCCAAGGACAATGGAGCCATCCATACAGTTTGCAACAAGTTCAGCAGGGCACAGAGTGACTATCTCTTATGTAATTTTTTGTGTTGTTATTGTTATGTGCCGTCGAGTCGGACCCGACTCATAGCGACCCCTCCTTGGGTTTCCAAGGCAGTATCACTACAGAAGTAGATAAGGTAGCTGACTATTCAAGAATTTACTTATGGAAAAAAGTTAGCCCCCTCAGCTATATTAAATAGCAAAGAATAGCCAATGCCTAGTAAAGTAGAAGGAGCTATATGGTAGGATAGTGCCTAAGGCACTTGATTGCTAACCAGAAGGCTGGGGATTCAAACCTACCAGCCACTCCTCGGAAGGAAGATGGGGCAATCTACTTCTGTAGTGATATGCCTCAGAAACCCAAGGAGGGGTCGCTATGAGTCGGGTCCGACTCGACAGCACATAACAACAACAGCAGTAAAGTAGAACAAATATAGATGCTATGGTAACCAATATTCCTTTCCAGCCTAATGCTGTCTAAGAGTTTTTCCATGTGTACTTCATTACAGAAATCTAATGTGGATTGCTGAGCAGAGAAGAAGAAACAGCTGCTTTAAGTTTTGTGGGTTTTTTCCTCCTCATTTTGCATGTTTGTTTGCTTGTGAAATAGACAGACAGACACAGAGGGGGGCATAGAGCATATATGTGCTGTTTGAAGTAAAGAGGAGGTGCTCACCCATACGTTACCGGCTCCCTAGAAAGACCCTGCTTAATTTAAGTTTCTGTGGTTCTGCAGTATGATGCAATAATGCCAGTGTTTCTGTAGTGTTTGTTAAGGGAGCAATTAAAAAGGCTCAGGTGCACCAAGACAATGTGTCATTTCATTGTAAAATTTGTATTGACTGTTACCATCACTGTATCCACAAAAAACAGCCTCTGTGATGAAAGATGTATATTAATATGTGAAACACAGCTACAGGATGAAATATAATGCCTGAATTCCTATGTGGCAGATAATGCCAGGATATAGATACCTCATTTTCAACAATGGCAGTATTATACTTAAAAATCTAATTTAAAGATGATAGGTAGAGGACTATCAACCACTTGGAAAGAGATCAGTGTAAGAGATCCTGGATAGAATGGTAGAAAAATGTGGAACAAAACTCAAAATCATAAAAAAAAGACAAGGCTTACTGGCCTGATGGAGACTAGTGAAACTCCAGAGACTATGGCCCCTAGTCACCCTTCAGGCCTGGAATTAAGCTAACTCCCATGGCTTTCAGCCAAACAATAGACAGGCATACAAGGTGCACACTCTGGTGGTGAACACTCTGGTGGTGTAATGCCTAGGGGATTTGACTGCTAACCAGAAGGTTGGTGGTTCAAACCCACCAGCCACTCCATGGAAGGAAGACTGGGCAATCTACTCCCATAAAAATTTACCGAGTTGGAATCAACTCGATGGCAGTGAGTTTAGTTTGTTTTTTGGTTTTGGTACACTTTTTAGAACAATCAACCATGGGAGATGAGACAGGCAGTAGTCGCACAGGGAGATAGATCAGAGGGCAGGAATGCATAGGAAAGAAGAACACAGGGAAAAGTTAACCACAGGAAGGAAGTGGGAAGAGAGCTGTTACATTATGGGGGTTGCAATCAATGTCATGAAATAAAATGTATATGAACTGTTATATGGAAAATGAATTTGCTCTGTAAGCTTTCACCCAAATCACAATAATAAATAAATACAAAATAAAAAAGACAATAGTTGGGGGGATTGTTTACTTTGGAAAGGATTCTTCCTAGGATCTTCCTGCTGGCTCTTTCAACATAGGAAGTTCTGCCATTCTCCTCCTCTCACTTCTTGTTCTCCTTCCTTCTCTCTCTCACTCTTAACATATCCCACTCTCCAGACATACCAGTTCCTGACCCTTACTTCTCCTATCTCTTATTAAGGCTCTCTCTTCTTGGACTACCCTCCCTTGCTACCCTTGAGGGAGTCCTACCTGCCTTGAAGTCCTGCTCAAATCTCATCATCTTTACTGTCTTTAGATCACTTAATTGGATTTAATCTTTGCCAAAATTTTCCAATCTCTCTCTTAGCACTGATTACAGTGTTTTATACTAGACTTGTTTATGTATGAGACTTTTCACTCCTGCCAGTTAAAGACCATGTATTCTCCACCATACCTAGCATAGAGCTTTACCCACAGAGCAGGCTCAGTCAGTGGTGATGGAATTGATTTGTTGAATCCAGTGCATTTAAAATAGGACCAGTTTTACAGCATTTTTCTATGTGGCATCTCAGGCATACTGTGATAAAATTCATCATGAAAAGTGAATATATGTTGAATATTTTGAAGCTCCTATTTAAAAATGTACCTTTTCCACTATTAAAATATGGCAGTAGATTGCCTAATCTTCCTTCCGAGGAGTGGGTTGGTGGCTTTGAATCACCAGCCTTCTGGTTAGCAGTCAAATGCCTTAGGCACTATGTCACCAGAGCTCCCACTATTGAAATAGGGAATAAATCATATAATTTTGTATGGTCATAAAAAGGAACTCTGGTAGTGCAACAGGTAAGTGTTTGGTTGCTAACCAAAAGGATGGTGGTTTGAACCCATCCAGCAGCTCTGCAGGAGAAAGACCTGGTGGTCTGCTCCCATAAAGATTACAACCTAGAAAACCCTATGGGGCAGTTCTACTCTGTCACATGGGGTTGGCATGAATGGGAATTGACTCAATGGAGTCTAACAACAGCAGCATGGGCATTAAAAAAAATTATGAAGATAGGTAATAAACTGAACTTAAGACCTGTGTTAATCTATTTTTTGTGTCCTTATCCATTGTGTGTAGACAATTCAGCTTTCACCAGGACAATACGATATTCTTCCTCCACCAGTTCCCAAGTATGCTTCCAGGTAATCGTATACTCATTAGTTAAGTTTTAATAATTTTACTCATACTTTTCTGCTTACATGCTTAGCAAATAATACCAATGGCATTTAAACCTCATTTATGGCCATTATATCCATATTAGCATTTTTGAATATTTAATGGAAGATAGGGAATAATGTTAACAAAGATCCTTACTTTAAAAATAGATGTAGAGAATCCTATGTATATATATATTTTTTTTTATTTTCTCTCTCTTTTTTAATATAGGGGCTTCGTATTTCGTTCCGCAGTTGCAAGATTCCCAACAGGCTACTTCATTCCTGTATGTATGTTATAGATAATTAACTCATGATGCATTTGATGTTTAAAATGTGAACTGATTCTTTCTGATGTATCAAGGTTAACATTTTGCTCATCATAGTAGATAAATAATGAATTATTAATGCACTTGATTTAAAATATATTTGAAGACATACTGGGGATTTCAATATAAGTAACACATTTATGCCACTCCTCAGATCTACTTCTGTAGAGATACCACCTCAGAAACCCAAGGAGGGGTCACTATGAGTCGAATTGACTCAACGGCAATGAGTGAACGAGTGAACCCATTTATGGCAAGTTGAAGAAGAAAATGTCAGGCTCCCTCTCTCTTCTCAAGCCTTTAATCAAATATCACCTTCTTGGTGAGGTCTTCCCTAGTCACTTGATTAAAATTTCTTGTCCTCCTTTCCTGGTTTATTTATTTTTCTCCATAGTATTCCTCAGTGTCTGATATACTACATTTAAAATTTTGTTTATCTTGTTTTTATCTTTCTCCCCCACTAGAATGTACAATTACTAAAGGCAGGGAGTTATGTTTTGCCTTATACACACATGGCACCCAGTGACTGAGACATAAGTATGTGTCAAATCAATTAATTAATAAAAACATCAGAGATAATAAATTATTATATTATCAACAAAAAGGAAGAGTATTTCTAGTCTTTCAATGTGAAAATATTTTTGTTTCTAAAAATTTCCAAATATATATATATATATAAGTCATAATAAAAATGAACTCTTTTAGATGAATAACCAACCAGTAGGATATCATAAAAGAAATGAATAATTATATAAAGCCATTTGAAAGAATGATAAAATATAAACAGTTTGAAGTGGTTTGATATGGGCTTATAGTATTTAGTATTTATTTTAATTGGAATCTCAGGAAAAAAAAAGGATCATATAGATCAAAGATCAAAACATCCTTTTACGCTTTTCAATCTAAAAGAGGAATTGAGATAACTGAACAGATTATTATGTGTCTAAGTTTGTATTTCTTTCTGTTTATTCTACTTGCAGTTTGCTGAGCTTCGTGAATACACAGATTAACAGATTTCATTAAATTTGGGAAAGTTTTCAGCCATTATTTCTTCAAATATTCTTTCTTTCCCTTTCTCTCTTTCCTCCCTGTGGAGACTCCCATTATGCAGATATTGATATCCTTGGTGGTGTCCCACAGGTCGCTTAGGCTCCATTTATTTTTCTTTATTCTTTTTCCGTTCTGTTCCTCAGTCTGGATGATCTCAATCACTTTATTTTCAGATTTGCTGATTCTTTCTTCTGCCTGCTCGATCTGTTGTTGAGATCCAATAGTGAATTTATTTCAGTTACTGTACTTTTCAGTTCCACAATTTGTTTGGTTCTTTTTTGTAATTTCTCTCTCCTTATTAAGGAACTCTAGTGGTGCAGTGGTAAAAGGGCTTGACTGCTAACTGGAAGGCTGGCAATACAAACCTGCCAGCCACTCCATGGGAGAAAGATGTGGCAGTCTACTTCCATGAAGAGTACAGCTTTGGAAACCCCACGTGGCAGTTCTAATCTGTCCTATAGGGTTGCTGTTGTTGTTGTTGTTGTTATGTGCCATCAAGTCGGACCCGACTCCTAGCGACCCCTCCTTGGGTTGCCAAGGCAGTATCACTATGGAAGTAGATTGCCCCATCTTCCTTCTGAGGAGTGGCTGGTGGGTTTGAACTGCCAGCCTTCTGGTTA